GGGTTGGGTCAGAGAGGGATGCAGTGAGGGGGATGGGGGTGCAGCCCCATTCCCAGGACTTGGAGACGGGGATACACATACCTCGAACTCCTGGGTGCTGGCAATAGGGCGACAGACAGACTGCGGTTCGCTGCAGGACACGTGCCACAGCCCAAGCCAGGGGCGGTTCTATGTATTTTGCCGTCCCAAGCATGGCAGTCAGGCAGCCTTCGGCGGCATGCCTGCGTAAGGTCCGCCAGTACCACGCTTTCGGCATACCCGCCGCCGAATTGCCGCCGAAACTGCGGGACCGGCGGACCTTCCACAGGCATGCCACCAAAGGCAGCCTGACTGCTACCCTCATGGTGACTGACACGCTGCCCCTCGCAGCTTGCCGACCCAAGCACGCACTTGGTGCGCTGGTGCCTGGAGCCGCCCCTGGCTCAAGCCCAGCCACACGAGGAGAAGAGGGCTGGGCAGCAGTGGGAGAGGCGCGTGCCACACGATCCCTCAACATCCATGAGTCATGCTCGCGCTAGTTCCTCCCCTGCCCTGACCCAGACATGGGAGCTGCACCTGTGGGCGGGAGGCGGGGCAGTATGCGGACCCCCCCGGCTGCCCCTAAGGCTAGGAGTCATACATGTCAGCTGCTTCTCAATCAGAGAGCTGCGTGGCGCAGCGGCTAGCAGGGAGCCTTCCAGCACCCTTTGTGGCGCAGCACCGCCCCCAACTGGAGAGTCAACGCCATAGTCAGCGGTGCTGACCGGAGCTGCCAGGATCCCTTTTTGACTGGGTCTTCCAGTCTGTCCAAAACCAGACACCTGGTCACCCAAGGCCCCGGCCCTGCAGCTGCTGCGGCCAGGGAGAGACAACTCTCTCCTGGCCCCGGGCTGCTGTGAAAAAGAGAGGGCTGGGGGGAGTTTTCTCTCCCCACCACAGCCCGGTGGCAGCCTACACCCCAAGCCCCTCATCCCCAGAGCCCGCACCCCCAGCCAGAGTCCTCATGCCCCGCACTCCAACCCTCTGCCCTAGCCCTGAGCTCCCTCCCACCCCTGAAAACCTCTCATCCCCAGCGCCACCCCAGAGCCCGCACCCCCAGCCAGAGCCCTCAACCTCTGCACCCAAATCCTCTGCCCCAACTCTGAGCTCCCTCCCACACTCCGAACCCCTTGGCCCCACCCCTGCCACACATCACCTCCATATTGGTATACATAACAAAATTCATTCTGCACATGGATGTAAAAAATTAGAGGCACCTTGTTGCCAACCCCTTTTGCAATCTAGTCCTCCATCTTTGCCATTTTTTTTAACCCTGGTTCGTAATCTTGTGCCATATTATGCTGTCACTTTTTAAAAACTCCATATTAGAATCAATGGAGAGAGTTCTTGCTCAAAGGTGAAGTAACTTCCAGCACTGACTACTTCAAACCACTGACTGGTGGACTAGGGCGGGGAACAACAACCTGGAGCATATGCAGAGGACTTCAAATGTGGCTTCAGAGGGTGTTATGTATACGCTTTCACTCAGAAATCCTATGCTGATCTTGGAAAGAACTGACCTTTTGCTCTCTTTCTTCTTAATGGATTTCCTTTCTGCTTATGTTCCTGGCCACTCGTTAAAGCTGGTAATTGTTGGATATCTCAGCTTCCTTAGGTACCATCTGCTGTCATATTTATAGACAGCTTCACTTTGCTTCATTGCTTGGGAGCTTATTGCCAGCTTAGGGAGGGTGCACTACAGTTCTTAAACTCAGAATTCTCAGATTTAGATGAGTCATTTTTAAAATGTTTTAAATGATTCTCTTAAAGGTTGAATATGCTTCCATGCTAATTTTATTTTAGGATTGTAGAGTACAGTAAGTGTCTTACATGAAGAGCGTTATTCAAAGGGAAACGACTGTATGAGTTTCTCTCAGATAAACCCTGTAAGATATTGGATGTCTGTAAGCTAGAACTAGGTTATATTCTAGGTACTGAGTTCTTATATCACCCTCATCACCATAGTCTCTGAGCAACTTCCAGAAGTGCATTAAGCTTGCATGTCAAATGGATTAACTTTATCATGGGTGAATAGTGAAACGACCAGATGCATCACGTGACTACTCTACTCACAAGTAGTTATTTCACATGCAGGTGGTGTGACATACAAATTGAATTTGTTCATTACAGCGAATAAAGGAAAAAGACATTGCACTGACCTGAGACAGCCAAAGTCATTATGCAGGCACAGGAGTTGCACTGGACAGTGGAGTCCCCTGACTCGAGCAGCTCCAGAATTGGCTCAAGTAAACCCATTTGGACAACTTGTTCTTTGTTTACTATTCAAAAACAAATAAAATGGTGACTAGCTAACACATCCTTTATAGATGCAAAAATTATATCTTCTCTTGGATTCCTTTGGAGTCTGTATATTAATTTCTGCAAAATGAATTTAGCATTCAAATAGATTGGAATTTAATGCACCAAAATGCACATGGTTATAATGTTTTATTCGAGAGTTCGGGTGATCAATTTTTTTTTAGATTTCTTTACTATTATATAACTGTATATAAACGTGCTACTGTATTATTCTGTAAAGTGACTTCAGAAAAATGAAAAATTATAAGAGGTCCTTGTTATAGATTCTAGCTGCGCCCCATAATTTTTATTATTCATGTGCAAATAGTGACACTCCATAACTTACAGCACGTCACCAAAGATAATGGGCTAGATTCATACTAGCTTGATGCTGGCTTCTGCTGGTACAGGGTAATGTAATGGAATGTCTATACTGGCATGGCTCCAAGGGAGGGCAGCAGTGGTACCACTGCCTGTCTCACCTTGTGGATGAAATTTCTGCCCTGCTAACCCATAGAGTAGGGGTAGGCAACCTATGGCACGCATGCCAAAGGCGGAACGTGAGCTGATTTTCAGTGGCACTCACACTGCCCGGGTCCTGGCCACTGGTCCGGGGGAATCTGCATTTTAATTTAATTTTTAAATTAAGCTTCTTAAATATTTTAAAAGCCTTATTTACTTTACATACAACAA